TTAATAGGAACATTAGCACTGCTCTAATAGTGATTATCTGCAGCAGCAGAAATCCTATGAATACAGACTGAGGCATTGCTGTTCCCTGTAATTCCATAATCCATGCACCAGAAGGATATTTCCAAAGCAGAACAGTGATTTTCATCTTTGTGATGTATATTCACTTTTAAACATGTTATTATTATATTTAAATCTTACTAATATTTTAATGGAAATCACTATATTCATTTTATAGAGGGAAACCAAACTGAGAGAATTTTATTGATTAAATATTAGCTCAAAGTGTCTTAAAGGTATTTTAAAAACCTAATAGAATATGGACTTTTAAATTTAGACCCCAAATAATTAAATGATGGAAATGAGTGTGGGAAAAGAACAAATAAATAAAAGAAGAAAAACTGGTTCAGCTTAAACTGCACTCAACACCACCTTGGATAATGTAATATATAAGACCTTTAGTAATAATCTAAACTCAGGGAACGACACCATGTAGAAAGGCATTTTATTTGCTCCAAAGCTAACTAGTAAATGTGAAAATGAAATTTTAATCTTTATTCTGCATGACTCAGATCAGATGACATTATATCTATCTTGTATGAACTCAGTATAGAATTGATAATGAAGACAATTTACTACATTTTAATGAATGAACATCCATTAATATAAAGAATTTATATTTATAAACATATATATGAAATAATTTTGTCTTCCATTGAAATATTAATTACTATGTTCATTTTCAGCAAGAGAAAATTCTGTTCAGTAATTTTTTAAGTCTTCATCTTTTTTCTTCCTCAGTAGTGCCATTGTGTGAGACTCTCATTGCCACCAGGTACCCAGATTGAAAGTGAATTTCATTTAAAAATCACGAAGTGGTGGCTGCAGAATCTTTGGACCATCGCAGATGCCCCGCATGAAGCCCATCATCTCCTAATCGTAAAGAATTCAAATCTGATGGTTCACAGTCTACAGATCCGAATCATTATTGTTACAAAGTTGGAATCGTCCACTAAAGGCTCACATTCGCCTTGAACTGCAGCGTCAAAAATAAGACAACTACAAAATTAAAGCCAAGCTCATTAGGACGTTTACTGATCAGTTTTAAATTGAATAAAGAAAACAGAAGTGAAGAAAATGGTTCTATTTACAAGAAAGTTGATTGGAAGCTAAATATAGAGCACAGATTAAAGCACTCACTAATGAATTTAGCACTGGATTCCAAACACAGACTCACGGTCTCAGAGGGAAATCAAAAAGCCATTAAATTAACTTAGGGCAAGTTTTATAGTGTAAATTATTGAATTTATATGACATTTCCCTAGTGGTTTACTTCCTAATGCCTGGTCCAATAATGCAATAGCAGTTGCCTAGAACGATGGTTCTAATGGTAAAATAAAAATAAAATAAAAACATAAATCTTTAAAATAAAGGTTTACAAACCAGACTGAAAACTGATCTGTTTCCCAGAGTCTCTGCCACCAATTACAGTCAGTAAGCCACCTTCCCCTGCCCTTCTGCCAGTGTCCAGAGTGTCCCTCTGGAAACTGAGCAGAGAGTTAATTAGACGACACTTCACATCCATGATTTGGGATAAATGGGTGGGCATGGTGGCCAGGAATTAGCGTCTCTGGACTTTTCCTCAAAGCAAACATCTGGACATTAACCAAAGTAGCCAGGGGCTTAGACTGAAGAAGTTTATGGATACCACCCGTTAGTTCTCGTCTTAAAAGGTGAACTTGTCCCTTTAGAAGATGGTCCTTTCTAAATAATGCTTTCCCCAATATCTAAAGCCTGTCTTTGACTCTTTTCCTGTGATCCCATTTTTCCTGCTCTTCTTAGCTTCCAAAGAGTGACGATGATCTTCCACTTGATAACAAATACATTTCCTTTTATTTTGCTCCAGTTTGTCAAAGCGTGAGAAAACACTTTGCTTAATGATACAACATTGCATCTTCGGTCAGCCCTTTAAAATTTACTCTCTCATTCCTTTAAAAGTATTATTGGACACTTACAGGCGCTCAGCAGTTGGGAGAATGAAAATGTTGTGGTGCAGATACAGATTCATACGTTCTGCCTGGTGGCATCACTCCGCCTGCTTCCAGGAGGCTGGGGAAACTCCCAGGAACAGCGAAGCCTGCGGGCGCAGGACCTGACATAAGCGCCTGGATGGTTTCCCCTGATGCTCTAGGATTTCACGAGCCTTGGTCAAAAGAAGAATTAGCAGTCAAGCTTTTCTCCTTTCTTTTATTCAAAACAGAGTTATCTATAGCAAAGGGCATAAGACCCTTGAAAGAAATTTTCTTGAATCCATGTTAGCCTCTGACACAGGGATAAACATGATTCAACATTATCACAGTTGGATTTCGAATCTAATTCACGTGGACAGATACAGATGAAGGAAGTGTCAGAAAGTGCCCTTACTTTTAGCTACAGTGTCCAGACACTTTTCTTTTAATTTCTGATTTGCAAACTGTCCCTGAGAAGGAAGAGTGTCAACTAAGATATATTTATCATCAAACCTCAGAGCTTATGGAAAAGCAGCTATACAACTCACATTTGTGAGTTTGTGAGATAAATAAGAAAGCGAGAGAGAGAGGGAGCGAGGGAGGGAGGGAGGAAGCAAGAGAGAGAGAGAAAGAGAGGAAGAGAGGAAGAGAGGATGCCAAGTTTGACAAATAAATCTAGGCAACAAATATCCAAATCTCCTTTTCAGTTCAATACTCTGAACATTTCAGTTACTATCATATTAGTCATCTGTAAAGGGTATCTACATTAATATTTCCAATACACCATTCAAGTAATCAACAAATATTTCTTCCATGGAGATCATTTTATTTTAAATCCCCACTTAATATATTACATTTATTTTTACTATTTTCAGACTTAACCAAGACAGAGCTAAGAACGTTTAATTAAGGAATTTAGACTCTGAGTTTTCATTTAATTCTGAGATAAAAATATTAAAGTTTATATTCTTGTTTAGGCAATGGGGACTATAAATAAGTAAGACTGCATTTGTATCAGACACATGCAGTGGCGGAGTCTGTGAATAAGTCTCCTTTTTCGTTTTTCTTTTCTCTACTATTTTAGAACTTTTGAGTTACTCGATTTTGTGGTAATGAGATCAGGAACATATTTTAAATTAAGTTATTAAATGTGATTTAAAGAGGATCATCTTTAAGAATCAGACTGATTTCATTTATTTGAACACAGTGAGTTAAATACATTGAAACAGTTTATCTGGGTGAAGTCTTACTTGCACCTAAAATACAAAACTTCAACTTGATATTCTGCTCTATTTATATGCAGGGCTAATATGGCAAATTCAATTGGCCATATTTAGTCTGATGTATGCAGACTCACTAAAAAATGTGCCAAATTACACTTCCTTTTGTGGGGGGAAGGAATTGTGCTTTGAAAAAAAATTACCTATCATAGCGCTGCAGTGATGGGAACTGGAGGCTTTTGAAGTTAATAATATAGAATTAGAGTTATTTATTTAATTGGTTCCAGTCTACTGCAGTGTTTAACTAGCTCAGATAAATAGACTAATCTTTCACAATTAGTCTATTAAGTCTGGTTATTTTTGAAACTCATATCAGTTGTAATCAGAGGGTTTCCTAAGGCATAAATTATCTAGCACCTTTATACCTCGAGGACTTTTAACTTGCTCTTGGGCTATTTGCTCTCTGAACTTTGTTTGTTTTAGCATAAGAAATTCCAGAGTCATAATAGGCATCTGAAAAGCCCCAGATGACTTCAGTGAATGAAATACATGAATGAGTTCTTAGCGACTAAAAGGAATCCCCGATTCTTATTGAATAAGCATTTCCTATTTTTAAATGTGTAAGTGCAGACAGCGTAAAACACAGAACAATAACTTTTAGATACTGCTAACCATTGACATTAGTATGGAGTGTGTTCAGTCTCACATCAGGGTGCCACTTCACGTTGAATTTCTTCTAAATATGGGATTTCCATTTATTTAGTATTAAGTATAATCACATTTTATCTTTTTAGACTCTTTCAGAACTTCTTGAAGAAACAAAGAACATTTATTACTCTTCACAGTCGAGAATCTAACATGTTCCTATTCTATGATCAATCACAACGAATTTTATATAATGAACGAATGGAAATAATTGGCACACTATAACCTTAAGGTCAGAAGTAATAACCAAATATGTTTTTCAGTAAAGATGAAAAACTCAAAGCGTAGATTTAATGCCTTGTGATCTCCTAATTGATCCCTAGTCCCTTCGTCCATCTACCAACTTTCTTTGACCTCTGACCAACACAGTTCCACACTCAGTCCCGTGTTAGTCCAATTTGACGTCCTCTCTGAAGTCCCTCCTAGCTGTTGTGTTTTTTTCCTCTCCTCCACATGTGTGAACTCTTTTAAACATGTGCGACTGCAGCATTGTTGACTAGGTTTTGATGAAGTTTCAAAATAAACCTCTCCTTACTCTGATTGCCTAGAAAACATACATTGGATAATTAAATCAATTGGCTTAACAATTTGATCACATTAAATTTTATCAGTTAAAAACTACCTTTATGCTCCTGCTTCAAGTCCCTTGAAAGCTGGAATGTGTTACCATATGAAAGAAGTGATCAAGCCTCTGCTAATTTTAATGTGATTGAATTTAATAGTGGCAATTTTTAAGTAACAACTGAATTGTATAACTATCTAAGCAAAAATAATTCAGAGTTTGTGCTTGTGTTTAAACTGATATAAAGAATACTAATAACTGAAACTCTAGGGGTCATGATAAAATCAGAAAAAGAGAACAGAGAATACGTTAAATTTTCTATCATGAAACATTTGATATTTTAAATGTTTGGCATTCAAATTTAAATTCACATTTAAATGAGAGATTTCTGATGCAAGATGGGGAATTTAATTACAATTAAACGCAAAAAGGAAAAGACCCAATGTTAAATCTAATGATAAAAATTACATAATGGCAATTTAAAATCAAATAAAAATAATCTCCATAGTGCTCGGTTCTGCAGCACATAGGATAAAATTGGAATGACACAGAGAGGATTAGCAATGCCCCTGTGCAAAGACGACACGCAAATTCATGAAGGGTTCCATATTAAAAAAAAAATCTCCATAGACAAAATATTTGCTCCCATATCCGCTGTTTTCATTAGTATCCTAAGTGATGGGTCTAGAACTTCAGCTAAGGTGTACCAGCAGGGTCTCACCCACATCATGGTCCCCGTGGAGTGAGGATTAGCAAGTACTTGGGAAAAAAAATTGTAAAAATGCCAAGTTTCTATAAAGACAATGAAGAGGATTCCTTAAGAACACTCTTTAAGGCTGTCATTAAATCCCTGAAATTGACTGAATACAATTCCTTGAGGAAAATAACAAATATTATCAAACACATGAAGAAGGTACTGAAAACAAGAGAAGAAATTTCAAAACAGAGAAGATGAAGTGGTAAGAATTACCAGGTAATTAGAAAATTACAACAAACAGAGGAGCACAGCGAACACACAGTAGTTGGAGACAGAGAAGTACTGGGGATTTGGTTAATGGTCCAAGCAGACAGGGGCTTGTCTGCAGTGCTCTACTGCACGGCAAAAGGAGGAACGTTCGTATTTGACAACGGAAGTACACAATTAGAAAATGGCTGGAAGCCACTGTATGAAAATGCTATCAGTAATATACTAGATGGTGGTTCTTTGAATCATTATTCTCTATTTATTTCTAATTAGTCTCAGCAAATATGTAATTAATGGGAAGACAAGGATTTAAAAGCCAGTGACATCTTGTTATATTTAGAGGACAAAATAAGTCCAAAAATCTTTTTTTATTATGATAACAGATTGGTGTAAGCACCAAGATTATTTTATAATATGAAAACACATCAAAAATATGATGATTGATACTCTACTTCTGTTTTAGGAAAATGAGCCGTGTGTCTTTATTTTGGGCACTGCTTTACAGTGGAGAGGGAGATTTCTACATTCTTCCCCTTAGGTTCAGTGCGATGAAGGCAGCACACTTCACATTTTGCGTGGGCAGCAGGTGCATGTTATAACCTCTGAAGAAACGGAATCGGTAACTGGAAAGTGCAGCTTGCTCTTTGGCACCTGTAAATTATAATGGCATAACCTTTTAAAGTAATTAACTGGATGCCTTCATATGTTTATATTCTCTGTGATAAATTGTTGACTTTTCTTGCTTTAAAGTTTGGATAATAACATCGCTGTCACAGGTCGGAAGTTTAATTATTGATTTGTCAGGTAAAGGAGACTTGGATAAAAGATTACCAAAGCTCATATTAAAAGTCCCAATCCCTCTCTTCCCTCAGGAAAGGGAATTTTAGGAACCAGGTCTTCTGCTTCAGTGTGGACCATCTAATTCTCTCAACATCTAATTCTATTCTTTTTAAAGAAAAGTCCTAATAGAAATAAATACAGGCTCTTTGCACTGATAGAGTTTTCAATATGGTTTTACCATTATGTTACAATACAAATATATGGGAATGTCAGGATTTTAAAATTAATAACTAGATGAAATTTTTGTAGAATTTAAATATTATTTTATGAGGCCTAACCTATCTTATAAAGATAAGATATTAGCTGTTTATTATTACAACTAAATAAACTGAGGATTAGATAGTTTAAATGATCTTGCTCACACGTCTAGGCATTTTTCACTGTCAGAACTAGAAATTGAATTCTTCTAATGTGTGGCTCACTGGGGTTACCGTTGTACCACGCTGAGTTATTTACCTCTCAGAGCAAGAACACAGTCCTCATGGGTATTCTTTAGATCACTACCTGGAGGAGATTATAATACCTATTCTGATGAGCTGTGGTATCAAAATACCATGGAAAAATATTTCACCCTCTTCACCTCCTAGTGCACATCCCTGGAGATCCACAACAATGACAACACCACACACACACACACACACACAAACTTTTCAACTTTATTTAACCTAGAATTTTAAAAACATACCAAGGTAGACATTTTTGCCTAGCATCTTGGAACTAGTTTTTCAAGCTAGTTTAAGAAAATCTTTCAGGACTAAAGCATGAATCCTTGTATCAAATCTATTAGTCCTAATATTTATTTTGTTTCAGCAAAGCATGTACAATTAAGTATCAAGTTCACGCAATTATGTATCAAATTGAAAGGATAAATTAATGCCTGAAATATGAAAAACAACTAAATGAAAGTATATAATAATTTAGGGCATAGTCTAATGATAAATCATGGCTCCGACTAACACTGATTATAGGCACAATGTTGTCTTAAAAATGAGAATAAAGAGAAGTTGTAAGACATAATTAAAAACAATAGAGTTTATTCTTGCATCTAATAGAATAAATATTTATGGTGAAAATCTTTAAAAATAAATAAGATACAAATATAAAAACCACCATTACCAATTATTTGGAATCTTGTTCCCTTGGTAACTACACACACACACACACACACGTACACATGAACACATTTAAGCATTTATTTAGTATAATTAATAGGTGGTCTCATTCGCATTATCTAATTAACTCACTCATTCAGCCATCATTTATGATGTGCTCATTTAGTCTAAAGTACAGTGTTACACATTCCATTAAAAATTAGTATTTTCTTCAAAGTCTGTAAGGTTACACATGACCAGGTCCTGACTATTTTCTGATTGCTCCTTGGTTTTCTTTCAGATTGTCAAAAATGCTAAACGCTTTCATTCTCCAAGGTCTTTAAACCAACTTTTTTTTCTCTACCTGGAATGACCTCCTTACAACTCTCCAGCAGCCATCTCCTTTTCTTTTTTGGTTCCTCAGTTTAAATGCGCTGAAATGTAGATGACGCAGCATGGAAAGTGTGGAAGCATTTAGTGAGCAGCTCCTGTGCTAAGTTCCGGACCTCATCGCACCCCCTGACTCCCAGCTCCTCCCTTGAAGCAAAAGGATTTAAATTTGGGACTGAGCTTCCTTCTTCGTCTCCCACATAACAAATCGTGGAAGGCACACGACAACACGGGTCTGGGGGTGGAGTGAATGATTGGATGGATACATGAATTCGGAAGAATCTGCAGAGGGGAATTGTTTGCGAACTTAAAATATGTGATGAAAATGAATCTGGTTGAGGAAAACCACAATCACCTAGCATTGTAGTCAGAAAGTAAAAAATGATGATAAACTTTTAGGCAACAAGGTCTTTTATTGGCTTTTCTTCTTAAATACGTTGATTTTTCTTAGTATATTTTTATGACCAATGTTCAACAACATTGCAATATTAAAATGTTTATTTCCTAGAATCATTTAATCATTAGACTATTTTTTAAAAAAGGAGAAACATATAGTTAAGAAAATATTAATGGGTTAAAAAAACCCCTCCTGGTTATGAGGCGATGTGCTAAACAAAATTTAGTTTCTCTTTGATCTTTTGGTCTCATCACATTTCTTTAAATCTTTCTGAAGGAAATCAATAACCTATCGAGTGCACAAGGATACTTGATAGTTTAATTTCAGAAGACCCCCCCAAATCAATAGTTTTAATGGTTTACAGGCTTAAAAACTTTCAATAAAGCAGCAGACTATGCAGATAGTATTTTTAAAGAAGTATTGTTTGTGGTATCTTAATGTTGAAACAATCTCACTACTTTTGTTCATGACACAGAAGTCTCTGTGTCTTTCTCTGGCTCTGCGTGTGTGTCTGCGCACACGCGCACACGCGTGCAGGCATGAGACAGGTGGAATGATGGGGGACAGAAGTAGAGATTATAAATTGCTCTAGGGTATGATTTGGACCTAACCTGATTTTTAAAATAGCCTGATTTCAGCTTTCAAATTTTGAAAAATGTTAACACAAAGATTTTTTGTTTAATTTTATTTAAATCAGTTTTTTATTTTATAATTCAGTTTTTATAGGGAAAGAAGGTACTATAAATAAATGATTGTCACTAATACACTTTGCTGAAAGTATAAATGCAAATACCAATCATTACTGTTCAACGCCAAGAAGAAATTAGCTGTATTTAAAGACCACAATAAAATTTAAAGACCATATCACATTTTATAATTGAAATGTAGAAGTATGTCTTCGAGAATGTGCCAACTTTTCCTTCTTTGAATGTTCTGCTTCTAAACATCCACTAAAACATCCCCATGTAAAAAGAAGTTGTAACACGTCGCAGAAGAAAAATGCCCACACATGACAGATAAACTGATGCCAGAATCTGTGAGGTAATTTCCCAAACTACAGTGCAGTGAAAACTAGGTTTAGCAGTGCTGCACCAACTGGATGGTCCTTCATGGAATAAATATAAAGTAAGAGAAGGATGGGAGGGAGGGAAGGAGAAACTGAAGGAAAAATATGAGGATGGAGGAAAGAAAAGAAGAAATAAAAATCTATTTACCATATTAATTGGGACAAGGGAGGGGGCAGAGGCCCTTTTTGGAGAGACTTAGTAATTTTTTAGGGAAGATGAATGTCCCCTTAGAAGAGCAGATGGGAAATCTGACAGTTTGTGACAGTTTGCCCAGTGACTTCTCGTCTCTCCTGTGATAAGTCAGCCTTCCCTGGTTGAGATACTTCTGGGGAGGGAGTTTATGACAACTGAGTTCCTTCTGGAAGATTTGTCATTATGCAGATAAGGGGAATCCAGAAAAAGGCTCTCGCTGTATTTGCTCTTTCTCAAGTACCTGTAGCTCAAAATAATCAATATACCGAAGCATCGCATTTGAGGGTGGCCTGTTCTGAACTGCTTACTACAGTCACATTCTGGGGTGTTATTTTCTGTTCCTGTTCACACACATCCCAGTTTTCACAGATACTGCCAGCCTGCTTTCCATGGGTGTGGACAAAGGCCTGCTTCAAGATTCTTTATTAAGCTTTTAGACTGTTCTAATCTGATGGAGGAAACTGTGTATCAATGTAGGATGTAATTTGTGTTATTCTTACAAATATATCTGACCATATTTTCCAACACTTAAAAGTTAATTGTATTGTGTGTGTGTGTGTGTAACTGGCTGCATTTACTATTCTATTGAGTGTTTGTTCTTTTTTATACATTAATAGTGATTGGTACATATTTGAGGAAGGTTGGCCCTTTGATGTTGGTATTTGATGAAAGT